ATAAGGAAAAAAAAAATAAGGAAAAAAAAATTGGAGAATCAGTTAAAAAAATTGGGGACATAATAAGAAACAAAGGGATTTCATGGAAGCTAAAGAGGAAAATTTCCTTTATGACAACCCCACAATCCCAAAATGACTGAGTGAATTTCTCACCTGCAAACTTGGGGTAATTTGTACCACACAAAATGGAACACCAGGTTGGAATTGGGATGTGGAATGGGACAAAAAGTCCTTGTCCCACCCCAAGCTTGGAATATTCGCAGCTGGAGAGCGCTGACCCCTCGCGGGAGGCTCTGTGCTCATCCCAAGGGYTGAGACAAGCTTTTCCTGGCAGATAATTCCCGCTGGGGACGGGCTCCGGCSCGGGGTGGCTCTGCAGGGATGCTCTGTCCCGCTAGATGGCAACTCCGCTCCGCGCAACGCGGGCGCTGCGCTCGGGAACCGCAAACGCGCTGCCAAATCCAGCGGGTCCCGCTTCCCGGGAGCTTGGAGGGGTTTTCCTGCTCTCATCGGGGCGGGGAAGGCGCGGGGACACCTCTGGATGCAGCTGAGGGGATTTGGATGGGCACGGCTGGGTTTCAGGGAGGGAGGGAGCGCGTCCCGGGGCACATCCCAAACGCGGCAGCCTCCCTTTCCTTGGGAGAGCCGATCTTCCCGGAGCTCTGCCTTTGGGATTTCTGTCAGCCCGGGGTCTCTGTAGGAGAGAGGAGCGGGGAACGGCCCTTTACGGGGTTCAGATCCGCGGGATTCTTCCCACACTTSGTGTGTGAGATCCAAACCTTGGAGCAAACACCCCAAAGCCTGGGAATAGCCATGGAATCCTGGAATGCTCTGAGCTGGAAGGGACCAGCCGGAATCATGCAGCCCAGCTCCTGGCCCTGCACAGACCCCCCAACAATCCCCCCTGTGCATCCCTGGAGCGCTGTCCGAACGCTCCCGGATCTCTGACAGCCTCGGGACCGGACCATGTAACTTCATTGTCACTTTGAGCTGCATTTTCTGACTCGTGCCCCATCGAGGACTCCAGACTGAGGGTTCCTGAGGGAACTCCCAGGCACGGGCAGAAAACCCGTGTAGGATGATCCCCTTCATCCCGTGCTTTGTGTTTGGATTATCCTGGCTTCCCACTCAGGTGTGTTTGGGAAAGGAAACTCCTGAGCTGCCRGAGGGCACTGGGAGATCCAGGACCTGAGGCCGTGTTGCTGCCAGTGCCCCTCTTCCTCTGCTGCCTCCTTTTCCTGGGGTGCCCCGGATCCTGCAGGAGCAGCAGMCAAATCTTCAGGGAGGAGCGATTTTTAACTGGGTGGAGAGTGAGAGGGCAAGTTTTACTCTAAAAGAGGAGACATTTAGACAGGAATGGGGAAGGAATTGTCCCCTGGGAGGGTGGGCAGGCCCTGGCACAGGGTGCCCAGAGAAGCTGTGGCTGCCCCTGGATCCCTGGCAGTGTCCAAGGCCAGGCTGGACATTGGGGCTGGGAGCAGCCTGGGACAGTGGGAGGTGTCCCTGCCCATGGCAGGGGTGGCATTGGATGGGCTTTAATGGTCCCTTCCACCCAAACCATTCCAGCATTCTGTGCAATCTGAAAGATCCCTGAGTCTATGGAAGAAAACTCCTGCCAGAGGTGACTGGGATAAAGACAGGGCAGCAGAGAAGAGCAGGAGGAGGAGGAGGTGGAGGAGGAGGAAGAGGGGGAAGAGTTCAGCCTCCACAGGAACTGAAGCCTCCACCAGGCCTGACCTTCCCACCATCTGGAATTCCAAGCTCCAGCCTGATCCCGCAGCTGAGACCCGTGCAGGAACAAACCAGGGTCTGTGTCTGGGCAGGGGACACATTTTTTTGGGAATGCCTGGGAGAAACAGAACTGGCAAAGATGGAGATGAGACAGCAGGGCCAGGGGCACAGAGGAGGACAAAGCCTGGGATGAGGGATCAGGATCTGTGTGCTGGTGTTTCCCTGATCCCTGCACCCCTCTAGCTCATCCCAAGCTGTCCTGGGGCTGCAATAACCATGGGAAGCCTCGGAGAGCAGCCCAAGGATGGAATGATGTGAATTCCTCTGCTCCAGCTGCCTGAGCCTCGGGGATTCCCTCTGCCCTCTCTCCATCCAATGTTTGGTTTTCCTTCCCGATTGCTCCTCTCAGTAAATCCCTTCCCCGTGCCTCTGGGGCTGGGATGGGGACAGGGAGCACTCCTGATTTCCTGCTTGCAGCTGAACCTCGGTGTTTTTACCAGGAGAGCTTCTTTCCAATCCCTGCCTGTCCCCACCATTCAGGTTTTTAATTTTTCTGCCCCCTGCAAAGAGCTGTGCTGACATTCCCCAGAAATTCACCCCATAACTGCAGCCCTCGCTCCTGAGGGGGTATTTTCCAGAGCCCATTGTGCTCCATTTGCAGTCAGGCTCTGTTTTTCCACGTGCATCCCTTTCCATTTGTCTCCGTGGAATTCCAGCTGCCTCTCCATCACCCTCTCTCTCCATTCTGAGCTCCTCCCAGAATTTTCTGTGGGCAGCCCTCACCTTTTCCACCTTCAGAAACGCAGCCCCACAAATCTGGTCAGGATTCCATCCTTTTCCTTCACAGAGCATGCAGAAGTGTCGTGCCTGTAGCAGAGATCCCATCCAAATCCACCTTTTTGCACTCCAGGAACCCAGAATTTCCTCCTGTCCTTTACTTCCTGCTTTTTCAGACTTCTTTCAGACTTTTTTAGACTTTTTTGCCATTTGTTTGGCCATTTTAACCATTTTTCTATGAGGCACTTCTCTCATCATCTCAAATGTTCTCGAGGCTTTGGTGAGCCCATGTTTCTGCTCCAGCACCAGATTTCRAAGCCTGCTGAGCTGCTCAGCACCCCTTGCTGCATCTCTCCCCCAAATCCTTTTCCACTTTCCCAATAACTCTCTGCAGGGTTTCAGCACTTGATTTTTTCCTTGGCAAAGAGCTCAGAAAATCCCGTTCCTGTTGCATGAAGAGAAAGGGTTTTTTGGTTGTTTGGACCTCGATTCCTCCTTGTTTCCCCTCTTCCTCCTGCAGGAAGAGAATCAAAGCCATGTCCTTGATGTCCTCTCATGATTTTGTTGACCTTCCCCAGCTTTGGAATTTCATCCCCCWGTTTTCCTCCTACAAAACCATCCTGCACCTCTGATCTCCTCCTCGTYCCCCAGTTTTCCCAGCTCTAGTGTTTCATGGAATGGGATAGAAGGGACCCTAAAAACCATTTCGTTCTACATGTCTGAGGTGAGGACATGACAACAGAGTCCTTTGGACTGGAAAAAACCCTGAGAGCATTGAGTCAAATCAACCCCCAGAACTGCCAAGGCCACCAGTGCCCTGTGTCCCCAAGTGCCACATCCACAGGGCAGTTAACCCCCCCCCCCAGGAATGGGGATCCAGCAAGGACCACTCTTTCCATGAGGAATTTCCCCAATATCCCCGCTGCCCCTGCCCTGGCCCAGCCTGAGGCCGTTCCCTCTCCTCCTGTCCCTGTTCCCTGGAGCAGAGCCCGACCCCCCCGGCTGTCCCCTCCTGTCAGGGAGTTGTGCAGAGCCACAAGGTCCCCCCGGAGCCTCCTTTGCTCCAGGCTGAGCCCCTTTCCCAGCTCCCTCAGCCGCTCCTGGGGCTCCAGACCCTTCCCCAGCTCCGTTCCCTGCCCTGGACTCGCTCCAGCCCCTCCAGGGCTCTCCTGTCAGGAGGCTCCCAGAGCTGTCCCAGCACTGGAGGTGCCCCAGCAGT